AAAAAAAAAAAAAAAAAAAAAAATTTGAGGATATAGCAGTCTCGGCATCTCTCTAGTCCAATTTTGCTTTTATGCATAAAACTGTAGTTTTCCAAGAAATAGAAACCCTGTTGGAGCAGAATGTGGTGGTGCACACCAGCTGCTCAGGAGGATCGCTTGAGCCTGGGAGGTGGAGGCTGCAGTGAACCATGACTGCGCCACTGCCCTCCAGCCTGGGCAACAGAGCAAGACCCCTTCTCAACACCAAACCAACAAAAAGCAGCCTTGTTAGCAACGGACTGAGTTATTTTTTCCCAGCAGCAGAAGGGGTCAGTGAATGGAAGTGAAAGGGCGCAGAGGGGAGTGAGCACCCGGGTCAGGAAGTCTGTGTCTCATGGAGTTGACCTTTCGGCCCTGAGGAAGGGCCACTGCCAAGGAGCTTTCCTGTGAAATCTGGAGACTCCAGCCTTGGGAGGCCGACACGTTCGCCAGCACGTTTCTAAAGTGAATGTGTGGATCCTCAGTTTGTGAGTGCTCGGGAACGAAGGGAAAGACAATGAATGGGCAGGAGGCACTGCAGGCATCGGGATAGATGCAAGGCCTGGCAAATGCAGGGGGCGGATTCTGTATGTTGGCTACAACAGAATTATGACGGAAACAGACTGAGAAGAGAGGCTTCTGACAACGGCAGCAGGACTCACGAGAGCAGCCCTCCCCTTGGCGACGACAGACACATGGAAAGGCACTGGGGCAGCTGCGAGCAGGCTGGCACTGGGAGAGGGTGGCACTGGGCAGGCTTCCTGCTTCTCACAACTTTCTGCCTCAGGGTAGACCCAGGTCAGGGCCAGTGTGGGCATCAGAGAGGCACGTGGAAGAAGCCTGCCCTCTTCCAGGCCTAAAGAACCAGAATCAACTTTTTTGTTGATCACAGCAGCTGGAATGTCAAGGAGGAATTTGTGGATACAGCAAGCCATAGAGGGTACACTGCCTGCGCATGAGGCAGAGGAGGCACAGACTTCAAGACAGCCAACTCAAGCTAAAAGCAGGGATTTCAGCGGCTATCTACCACAGGGGAAAGAGTTTAGACTCTGAGCTGAGCAAAGGTCATTGCCTACTAAGAAAAACCAAAAAGAGCAAGATTCTTTGGAATAACATAATAGAATCCAGAGTCTCTACAATGGATCATCCACAATGTCCATGATATGAACAAATGACTAGACATAAGAAACAGGCAAATTTGATTTACACTCAAGAGAAGACGCAAATAGTAGAGATCAATTTTACATGACCCAGGTATTGGAACTAGCAGAAAAGATTATACAGCAGCAGTTACAACTGTACTCAAGGATATAAAGAAAAATATATTTTAAACAGAGGGAATTTTAGCCAATAAATAATAAGTATAAATTCTAGGGCTGAAAAATACAAGCTCTAAAACGATTGCTGGAGAAGTTAACAGCAGATTAAAGATAGCTAAAGAGAGTCTAGATAAATACAAATGAATTCAAAGGACAGAAAAAAGAATAATGAACAGTAATCACCAATATATGTCTACTGAATATGGAAGACCTAACATTTAATCGGCGTCCCAGAAGCAAAGGAGAAAGAGAATGAGGCAGAAAAATTCTGAAGGAAAAAGGCAAATTTTCCAAATTTCATGAAACACATAAATATAGATCCAAAAAGCTGAGGATAAATAAAGTGAAAACACCTAGGAACATCATCATCACACTGCTGACACCCAAATTCAGACAGAATCATGACAGCAACCAGTGCGTAGAAGATGCAGAGACACATGACACGTAAGGGCCCCACAGCCCACAGCTGGCTTTTTCAGAAACAGTGGAGGTCCAGACATAGGGAAAATATTCAAGTGCTGAAAGGAAAAAAAAAAAACCTGTCCAATTAGGACTTTTTAAAAAAAAATCAGGATCAGCCGGGCGCGGTGGCTCAAGCCTGTAATCCCAGCACTTTGGGAGGCCGAGGCGGGTGGATCACGAGGTCAAGAGATCGAGACCATCCTGGTCAACA